TAAATTGAGCAGGCCTTTAGAATACTTGACGAGCTCAGGTATTCTTATTTCCAACTAATGTAAATTGTAATCCACGTCTGACTGTATTTATAGCCTTGACTTATTCTGCCTTAGATATGCGGATTTATTATGCAGACTTATTTTCCTTCAGTACCTTTTTAACCTCTTAAATATTGATATCTTGTTTGTGGTTGTAAATATCAGCATGTCTCTATGACGCTTATAAGAGATCCTTGAAAATTTTATGCCAAATTTCTTTGTTTTTAAAAATAATTTAAATATAAAAATACTATTTTAGGCTTGTGGAAACTTCATTTATTTATCAAGAGTTCTAGATTCCCCATTTTTCCTAAAACTCATGTTTCACTCATGAGAGCCATTATATCACCTTTATTTAATCTAGACTCTTCTACGCTTACTGTCTTAGATCACGATGTCCGCTTTTTAATGCATAGGTCATTAGCTGAGTAAGTTTTAAATACATGCACTCCATCAAGCCATGATACTTTCGCTTAAATATTTTTTTGTGTATAATCATTCCATTATTTGAATTTAGTTTGTTTAGTTATGCACTAGCATTGAGTCAAGCGTTACCAACTGATTCAGATCACTGCCAGCTATTATGAATATAAGTATTATATAAATGGTTCAACCGAATGTTTTTCACATTTAGGCATACTTAGTCCTAGGCAATCCTCAGATATCAATTTTCTCCAATATGGATTTAAAGGGATCTCGTATATGAGAGCCTACTTGCTTTAAGCTATAAGTGTACTTATACTTTGGTCATTATTCCCTTTTTTTTAACCGAAGTGTTAACTACTACTAGACTGCTCTTTTAATAATTTGTTTTTTCCATTTGTCTTTTTTAAAAACAGGCGTTTGTCGGCTTGAACAACGCGTCGCTCATCTATACGACCTGTGCCGGGGCCTTCTTCAGGAGAACAGTAATCTTAAGTCTAGTTTGAATGGCGTGTTCTGCCAAGCCTCACGTGGAGGTTTTCCTGTTTCAGCTGGTCCGGCTCTTATTGCACCAACTATTCGTCTGGCTCAGGTGAGGTGCTTCCTAAAGGCCAAATTTGCTTATCGAATCAATCTTATTTTGCTCTTATCACGCTGATATGTGTTGGCGCACTTTTAATGGTTGCGCTTTGTGTCTAGGTACTTACAATCGTTTTTGCGTATAGTCTCTTAGTCATAGACTTAGTAGCTCCATAAAAATTGATACTAATATTTTTTTATATTGGCAGGTTTCTAGGCTATTATTTATTATATGAGAAATTGGTTAACCTGGGTAGCCTGAAATAATTTAGATACTGATAGTTGAGTTATCCCATAATTATGCTATTAGGCATCATGATGCTATTAGATTTCATTTACCCCACAACATGTTCTGGAATTCATTTTATACCTCGCTTAGTGCTCGTCTGAACACCTAACGTGATTCGATACCTTCTGACTTACGTACGCTTGTCGCTGTGTAACACTGTGAGAGACGCTTCGGTACCAAATCCCATTATGGATG